TTACTGAATAAAGTATACTTGTATAAGCTATATATACCAAAGGATTTATCTTCTCATTTTTTATCAAACTTCAAATTTTCTTCAAATTTGTTCTGACTTATACAGATAAGGACTTTAAAAAAATTTTTTTTTAGTTATAGATGGATGAAATATCTTTATTTTTGTTTATTTTTATGTGGTGCTGACGATCGAACCCAGTGCCTCACATGTGCGAGGTAGGTGCTCCACCACTGAGCCAGAACCCCAGCCCCAGATAAGATCTTTAAATGTCTTTACAACGTCCCTTACTATTTTCTATTATTTATACATTTAGAAAATCCTGTTTGCTTTACTGACTTAAAAAATATTCCTATTTCCTTAAAATTTTTCTAAGCTTTGAATCTTTACATTTAACTCTAAAAATTCACCCAAGCTTATGATGTGATATGAGAACATAAGCAACTTTCCTGAATTTCCATCCAACTGTCCAAAGTCTTTCTCTCCTCATCAATTTCTAAGACAACATTCCTTATTAATTTTAATTTTTTGAAGGGTTATTTCTAGGTGAGATAAAATGTTTTGCTAAGTGTTCATGTTTTAACCATGCTGGCTGCAAAATATTTCAGTATCTAACAGCTAATTCTCTTTCTTTTTTTAAATCACTTTTCCCCCCAGATGAACTCATAAATCACATTGAACAATTTGGGGAAGATCTCACACTTGCATACTATTTTGTTTTCTCAACTACAACAATACTAGGGAACCTTTAAAAAAATTTCCAAACCTCTATCGTCCATCAGAAAGAGTGGATTTCAAAATGTTACTACTACAATAGAGTACAGCTTTAATTAAATTAACTTGTATCTCAAGAAAAATTAAGCTTTTCTAGCTTTGCTCTTCACATGTAGCTAACGTATAAAAACAAGATAAAAAGTGCTCAATTACTTTCTATGGTTATAATACAGACTCTAATTTCCTTTCTGATTTGAGCTGTTTCTCCTGGAATCAGTTCAAGCTATTTCTTGTTTGCTTTATCTGTTTTAAACACTTTCTCTGATATACTCTTGGATACAATGACATATCAGTTTCCAGAACAATCTATGAAAAGGAATCCTAACCTGAAACTAATGCATAGGTTTTCAAGGCAACTGTAAAATCCTACTTTAATAGAAAAAGTATGTATCTGTGCTTTTTCTAGGAAAAGGGTCTATAGTTTTCATCAGAAATCCACAAATGATCAAGACTGACCATCAAGAGGTGAGTTCATTATTCTCTTATAGTTTTAGAAAATTATTCAAAATTGTTTAATTTAAAACATTTCAGTAGCTACCATCTTTCTACTAACTTACAGGACCTTATACTTTCTTCTTGCTTTTTCCAAGAAACCTGTCCACATGAGACTTTTTAGTGTACTCCTCTATTTTACATTTATTGTTAAAAGATAAAACTTGTTGGGAAACCTGTTGTTTCACTCTTTTCCATTAAGAGGTGTTCTTTAACTTTTTGTTCTATGTGTATCAATTGCTTTGCAACAGCAAAATGATGCCACCAGAGTGTGGTAATACAATAATAACTGGCATATAGGAAAAAGAAGATATTATTTAAATAATTCCATATTATAAATAAACTAACTTTGATAGAGACTTATCTGTTCTACTTCTCATCTTTTCTCATTTCTTTCTCTTTTCATCATGTGTTAACTAAGGGTAGCTACATGCTACTTCTCATCTTTTCTCATTTCTTTCTCTTTTCATCATGTGTTAACTAAGGGTAGCTACATGCTACTTCTCATCTTTTCTCATTTCTTTCTCTTTTCATCATGTGTTAGCTAAGGGTAGCTACATGCTACTTCTCATCTTTTCTCATTTCTTTCTCTTTTCATCATGTGTTAGCTAAGGGTAGCTACATGCTACTTCTCATCTTTTCTCATTTCTTTCTCTTTTCATCATGCGTTAGCTAAGGGTAGCTACATGCACTTAATCCATTTACTCAGCTCTTTCCTCCTAAATAATTACACATAACAGAAAATTTAGACCTTTAAAAAAATGCCATAGAATTAAAATGGTTAGAAAACACTGCAAATTATGGTTTTATGGTTAAGTCCACTGAAACCATACCTACATCCTATATCTAATTTTCTGACTCCCATGTATACTAATGAAACATTACCTGATATTTAGGCATCTCAGAATACTCCAAAATCGTGTTTTCAACATCGTTCTGCTGTTCCTATTTGGGCAAGAAAACTATATAACTATTTCCAAGCATAAAGGCAATACAGAAAGAAAAACAACCCATAATTATTACATCTCAATTTGCATATAATCACCAACTAAATTCCAAGTTAACAATATCTAGTTAGTAGACATTACATTCAATATTTTAATCAGAATATATGTAATTAAAAATACAAATGTTAGTATAAATCATTTCTATAATGTTCTATTAGTTCCTTAAGGGACTAGGAAGCATAATACTTTTCTAGGTCTTTTAAAATATCTTGGTATATATACATTATTATTATTATTACTGGGGGGGGGGAGGGCAGGGATTGAACTTGGGGCACATGACCACTGAGCACATCCCCAACCCTATTTGTATTTTACTTAGAGACAGGGTCTCACTGAGTTGCATATCAACTCTTTGAACTCCTGCCTCAGCCTCCTAAACTGCTGGAATTATAGGTGGGTGCCACTATGCCCAGCTTAGCTACATTATTGCCCTTCAGTGTTACAAGTAATTTGTGAAGGCAATATTAAGAAATAAAAAAACTAATTTCAGGCAGAAAACATACCCTCTCTTTTTTCTTTTTCTTTCTTTATTTTCCCAATTGTTCTATACATTTCAAAACTTAAAAACAAATATTTACTGAAAATCTAGCCTTTGTACATTACATATATCTCTTTATTTCTAGGCTATGGTTTTCCTTGAGCCGAGATCATGCTGTAAATAAACTTTGGGGCCAGGAAAAATTTTTGAGAAAAATGCTAAATGGGTGGTTTTTTGTTTTAATTTTAGCTAATAAAAAATGCAAGCTATTTGTACATTTTTTTTCATGTTCCTCAACTGCTTCTACTTTCTTTCAAATTATGTATAGTTTCAAATATGTGGGATTATCATGTTGGTGGTCTCTGCTAAAACTATGTATTTACTGAAAAAAATGTTTAATTCTACTTTGAACTAAGTATCAAAATTGTGAAATAAAAATAAATCATGCTCTTAAAAGTATGTACTTACAGATAATAGTTCTTTTATTTTGTTTGATGTTTCTTTAAACCTCTGTAAGTCCATGCTATCTCTGTGCCCTTTAACAGAAAAAAAAAAAAACACAATAAAAAATTTTTGTTCTTCTTTATCAAGTAAATGACATTGTCTAAAGTCTATAAAGGCAAATGAAATATTTGCCAAGAAGCTGATGAAGACTTGTAATTCAGTTTATATTAATAGCAAAAGTTCTTCAAACAGAACCCAACATGTTGATGTGAGTAAATAGCTTGAAATTTAAAAGAAAAGGGGAAAACAATAATTCTTACTATGAATAATAAAATATAAAAACTAATTATACGTAGCCCCCACTGGTAATACATTATCAAACAGGACAAAATGTTTTTTAGGACCCTGGGTTTCATTCGCAGCACTGGAAAAAAAATTTCTGTTTTAATAGATTGGGATAAATTCTATGTAGGAAAAGTTATGTATCTATAACCCACAGCAAACTCCACATAGCCTAGCAGTACTAGTACATAGTACTAATGTGCTGAGTACCTAGATAACCTGTCAGGCTGGACTTCCTATATTTTACAATGATTTATTACACATTCCTTACACAATCATTACACATATTTCATGACTAGGTAAATTTCTATGCAGGGAAGGCTACAAGAAGTATTGAAGACAATGGTAGGAAACCACCTGATGGAAAAATAAAGGGCATTATTCATACCTTGGAACATTCTGGTTATACTCCAAAGAACCCAAATTATTTACTAAAAATTCTCCATTAAATACTTTAAAACACCATATTCTCCCAAATTACAGGAACTCGGCTAGGTCTATAAAGTATTCTCTACTCACTCATTCCCTTCCAAATGGCACACTGTCAGAATTTAAAGATGATTAAATCTCCCTTAACATTAAAAACAAAACATGATAAACACAAAAATCAAAGTCTCCCACAATCATTTCCTTTTTATTCTCTCCTCCATTTGTACTTTAATTTGGCTTTCCCTGTATCACTTCTTTATTGAAAGTTTTCACCAAGGTCATTATGTTTTATCAATGCAAAAATAAAATATTTTTCTCTCTTCTTATCCTATTTAATCTATCATAGGTGTAAGAGTGACTCTTTCCTTTTTTAAGTGCTCTCATTTCTAGATTTATAAGATAGATCATAAACACAGACATGTATTTGGTTGGTGGGGAAGAAAGATGTGGCATGCTTAAATTGTCTAATTTTATATTTTTATTAACATTTTTAAGATTTCTCCCAGGGGCTGGGATGTGGCTCAAGTGGTAGCGTGCTCGCCTGGCATGCGTGCGGCCCGGTTTCGATCCTCAGCACCACATACAAACAAAGATGTTGTGTCCGCCGAAAACTAAAAAATAATTATTAAAAAAAAAAAAAAAAAAAAAGATTTCTCCCCATATCACCACAAAGTTTTAGTCAGTGATAGACTGCATAAGATTACATAAGATTAGTCCCATAAGATTACAATGGAGCTAAAAAGTGACTATTGCCTAAGTGATGTCCTATAACTCACAGTTGGGGTAGTAAACAAACTTACTAAGCTGCCAATTGTATAAAAGCTTAACAACATGATTATATATAGTACATAATACTTGGTAATAACTTTGTATCATTATGGTATATTCCTTCTATTTATAAAGTTTATTGTAAAATAGAATATAATTTTATGTCATCAATGACCTTATATATCATGTGTTTACTGTGCATCTAGGTTTGTGTAAATACACTCTTGATTTTCACACGATCAAAATGCCTAATGTGTCCCATTGTTAACCAAGCTATGATTGTCTTGGTTTCACAAGTAGACTCCTGGTTTCCCAGTCAATATAATGTAATAATTAGCAATGTACCTTTCACTATAAAAACTGTCCTGGGGGAACTGGGGTTGTGGCTTAGCAGTAGAGTTGTTACCTAGCACGTGTGAGGCCCTGGGTTCAATCCTCAGAACCACATAAAAATAAATAAAAATCATCCTATTTATATTGTTCTTTTTGCCTATTGTTCACAACTTCCCTGTACCTTCCTATTGTTCCCTATGTACCTTACATATATAAATCACTCAGGTTCTTCCAACAATTGACCAAATTCAATTAAAGACATATTCAAATTTTAAAGAGGCCAAATAATTTTTGTGTACATTGCTACTATAGTAAATTTTACTAAAGAAATATATGACAATATAACTCTTTTTTAAAATTTATTGAGTTGTATATGAACGCATAGTATCTTTATTTATTTTTATGTGGTGCTGAGGATCGAACCCAGTGTCTCACACATGCAAAGCAAATGCTTTACCACTGAGCTACAGCCCCATCCCCAACAATATAAATCTTAAAGCCCAAATCAACTTATTTCCCCCACTTCTAATTCCTTTAAAATGTTTAGAACTACACAAAAAACAGTCCACTTGTCCTACAATATTTTTATTAACTAGCTAATTATTTTCATTTCAAACTTACCTACAAATGCTCCAAATTCTATACTATCTCCTTCTGCAGCTTTAAAGCAAATACTTTCTTGATCTTTGGTTACAGTTTCCAAGTGGCTTTTGCAACTTGGCTGGGACGGTGTACTAACAGAGAATTTGGTTGGTGGGGATGACAGGCGTGGTGTGCTATTAGGTGAACTGCCTAATTTTTGACTTTTATTAAATAGTTTTAAAATTTCTACCCCATGTCGTCTCTGTCGCAGTTCTGGAGGAGAAACAGCACTTGGGAATAAGGCACCACAAGAGGAACCAGCCTCTGGAAAATTGAATTCTTTTCTCTGGGGTATTACAGGTAAATCTTGACCAAACATGTTACATTGGGGATCTTTTTCATCTTTCATGAAAATATTACAAAGAAAAGGATTATTACTTTCAAGATCACCTTGAGGAAGAGAGGAACTAAGTGTATTTACAACACTGTGCTTTTTCCATACAGAAGGTCTTACAGGACCATCATCAATAAGGTTCTGAGCCAAATGTTTGGATATACTCAATTCTCGTGTGATCTCGTTGTGAACTTTGCTAGCTTCTGAAGCTTTCTGGGCAGTGAGTGTTTTTAATGTATCAACTGTCAGGGCTGAAAGATCTTGCAAATGTCCAATCTGAGAATCTAATGACTGTAATGATCGTTTTATGTAGTTGACTCGATCTCCAACTTCTTTAATCTGAATGCACATCTGCTCCACTCTGTAGGGGAGAAACAGGCTTTTTATGAATGTTAAAAATAAATGAAGAAATTCTCTTTGTAGTCTCAAATAAATGACAATACAAAGAAATTTTAAATGCATTGTTTTATAACAAACGAGGTAAGTTATGAAAACAAAGTCTGGCTATTTATTTATACAAGGCATTCTTTATGTTTAAGAAGAATCCAGTGCTAATGCTGCTATAATAAAACACAAGGTTTCTAGAAGTGCTTTTTTTTTTTCCAATTTACTCTCCTAAATATAGATATACAGTTACATATCCAAAGAATTACCATTACTGTAACTACAAAAACATCATATGCTTCCAGAATATAGCAAGGCCAATCAAAGAAAGAAAGGCTTTAAAAATAGTGAAGATAGTTTTACTTTCTCTCCAGTGTAGAAAAGAGCATTAACCCTGAAACTATAGTCAAAAAATTACAAGAAGGCTAGGAATGTAGCTCAAGAGGTAGAGCTCTTGCCTAGCATGTCTGAGACCCTGGGCTGGATGCCCAGCACCATTAAAAAACAACAAGGGATTGACTGAATTATATAAAGTACTAGAAGTAAAGAACTAAACTGTCTTTCCAATATATAAGAAAAAGCTATTTGCTTGACAAAATAAATTAAACAATGACTAGGTATAAGATACATAACTAATATAATCAATTATAATTAAACATATAATCAATTATAATTAAATAACTTCTGAACCTTTCAAAAGTGACACGGATTCTCTCTTCACTTCCAGAATGGAATTTGTCATCTTTTTCATTAAAATACATCTCAACACACTGCTCTTCAAAGTCATGAAGTTTCTTTTGATCTTCCTCTGTTAAGAAAAGTTCTAAGGGAGGAAAGACAAAAACAAATCAATGAAGGGCTACTAGGTTTTCAAACTTTAGCTCCCAAGTCTTATAAATTATTGTGCAACTTTTTTCTCTTTTTAGTGCTGTGTTTCTGCAGCACTAGCCAAGTGTCTTTCTTTTTTCCTCCTTCATGGTGTGATATAAGTAAAATGGTTTCAGGTAAGTTATTCTCTTCTAATTCTCCTTTCCAACACTAATCCCCCTCTCTTAATCTTCCTCACATACCCAGTCAGAGGAATTTCAGAACTCAGCTAGTGGAATAGAAAGCCAATGTAAAATTTTAAGCACAATTTGACACTGATCAATTTCAGGTAGTTTAGATAATTGTCATTGTTTCCAGAGCAGTAAAAAATGGTTTAGAAGAGCTAAAATGTCATAATCTACATAACCCCCATTTTAATAAAAACAAACTGAGATGTCATCACCAAAGAGGAGTTTAATACTAAACCTCCTTTTATAGATCATCAAATTGCACCTAAAAATTCCTTTGGTCAGGCACATTTAACAAAAGCCTTCACAATAACATTTAACTAATAATGTTAAATATTACATTGTATTGAGTAAAATCATTACTTAGTCTTCAAGGTGTTATTACATGAAAAAAACATTTGCCTTAGTTTATTTTACTTACTTGGTCCATCAGAAGTCTTATCTTTCTTTCTTCTTTTACATACACAGCAAAACAGAGAAACTACATGACTAAGAATGATAAGTGGAGGAGGCAAAACTGGTTTCTCATGATAAGCCATAATAAAATGATAACGCTGATACTTCCATACAATATTGGAAATTGCCTTCACTTGTAAATACACATTGCTAGAATAACAAAGATTAAAAATAAACTTAGTTAACCTTATCTAAAAAAGTTTTAAATACTAAAAATTTTATTATAATTCTGGACTAAGTAAGGACAAGTACCCTTCAATAAACAAAACTAAAAAGTAAATGAAAAATTGCTGGGTACAGTAGCACATGTCCGTAATCCCAGTGACGAGAGGCTGAGGCAGGAGCAATTCAAGTTCAAAGCTAGCTTCAGCAACTTGGTGAGTCCTGTCTCAAAATAAATAAAAAGGATTGGGAATGTGGCTCAATGGTTAAGCACTCCTGGGTTCAATCCCTGGTACCAAAAAAAAGGATCCTTTTATGTGCTATCAAATTGGCAACCATTGTGCTACGGTTGAGGCTCAGTGGCAGAACGCTTGCCTAGCACATGTGAGGCACTGGGTTCAATCCTCAGCACCACATAAAAATAAATAAATAAAATAAAGGTATTGAGTCCATCTACAACCAAAAGAAAAAAAAATTTTTAAAGGCAACCATTAAAAAATAATAATACCCAGAGTTGGCAAGAAGTTGAAGGATACACTATATTTTGACTTAAATGGGGAGAAAAAAAAAAACAACTAAAAAAATCCACATACTGAACAGTTCTACTTTTAGAAAAACACTTTAAAGAAATACTTGGGTATTGTTCAAATCGCAACATGGTGTTTAAGACCAAAAAAGTACAATCTAATTGAGCAAAATAATATATTGGCTTAAAGTATTATAATTTATATCATGGAGAATCAGCAGTCATTAAAAATAGACTGGATGTGCACAGTGGCACATGCCTGTAATAGCAATTCCTCAGGGGCTGAGGCAGAAAGATTCCAATTTTGAGACCAGCCTCAGCAACTTAGCAAGACCCTGTCTTGAAATAAAAAAAATAAATAGGACTGAGGATGTAGCTTAGTAGTAAAGCACTTTTGATTTCAATCCCCAGTACCCACCCACTCAACCACCCCACCCCCCCGAAAAAAAGGAGAGAAATATTCATCAATTTGGATTATGTTCATGTTTTTCTTACTTAAAAATAGCATAGAAAATATAATAATTTTTTTCTTCTTAGATGAGACTCTAACTGAATTGCCAAGTTTGGCCTCAAACTCATGATTCTCCTGCCTCAGTGTTCCAAGTAGCTAAGATTATAGGCCATGTGTCACCACAAAATAACAAGATTATTTTTTAAAAGAAAACATGGTTTATACATTCACTTAAAATAGATGTACCCCTAAATATTAAGAGTGGAATTAGCCAGGCATGGTGGTACAAGCCTGTAACCCAGTGGCTTGCAATACAAAGCTAGCTTCAGCAATGGTGAGGAGCTAAGCAACTCAGTGAGACCCTGTCTCTAAATAAAATACAAAACAGGGCTGGGAATGTGGCTTAGTGGTGGAGTCCCCGAGTTCAATCCCAGTACCTGTCCCCCAACACCCCCAAAAGAGTAGAATTATTGATGAATTTTATATTTGCCTTTCTGCTTTCTACATTGAATATGCATTCCTTGGTAACATAGGAAAAATTCCAAATGAGGATCAAATTTATAAAAGAACTGTACATTGAAAGATAATAAAATCTACTTAGGTGCAGTGGCACATGCCTATAATCCCAGCGACTTGGAAGGCTGAGGCAGGAGGATTGCAAGTTCAAAGCCAGCCTCAGTAACTTAGGCCCTAAGCAACTCAGTGAGACGCTGTCTCTAAATAAAATACAAAATAGGGTTGGGGGTGTGGCTCAGAGGTTAAGCACCCCTGGGTTCAATCCCTGGTAAAACCCCCCACAAAAAAGGCAGAAAAATAATAAAATCTAAAATTTAGAACTTATTTGATTTGAAAAAGCATGACTTCTTATATGTAATTTTTCCATGATTTGAGTACTTTAAGCTGATAAAATTTTTAGATTTTAAATTCTATATATTTCCTTCAAAATGAGTAGAATGGCATATCATCAAATGATATCATAATAATATGCAATTGAATAAAATTCTTACTTGAAAAATGCAATAAGAAGATTCACCATAATGATATACTGTACAAAGAGGTAGACTGCTTGAAGAAATGGAGTCAACCATGTTCCAGGGCCACAGATTTCGGTGATAGTGGAATCATTTGCACACACTTTATGAAGAAAAAAAAAAAAGAATTTTAAATATAGTTATCTGCCAGTAATTGCTATTAATCAGTGTTTAATCTTTTTACTTCACTTAAAATAAGTTTTGATTACATATAAACCTGTCTCACAGATTCTAGCAAAGGACTCTGGAGAGGCAACCATAGAAACTCCAACTTAAAAGCATTCCAATATAGAGGATTTTGTGAGGGGTGTGGACGCACCCTGCTCTACCACTCTTCCAGATAAGGAAGTATGTTTAGATATTATGTCTACTTTCAAGGCAGAGTTTGGCCTTAGAATCATTAAGGAGGATAAAAGTTTTGGACTGAGTCAAGGTATAACATTATTATAAGAAAAATATTGGA